CCCGGCATTGCCCCCCCCCCAGCGAGAACCCATCGCGGCCTTCCGCCCGTCCAGGGCCCGGTGCGCCAGCCGGCCTGGTTAGGAATATGGGAGGGGGGCTCTGCGCCACAGATCCGTCCGCTCTCCCCTTTGACGGCCACTCGAGGCTGTACGAGGTCTGGTGGCGAAGAGTTCCCCGGGGCAAAGCCTCGCTTTCCTCCAGGCATCGCGCACCCGCCTTCACCCTCAGGGCTTGTGAATGACCCCGTTCCAACAAAGAGGAGGGGAATGGGGGGGGGGGGGGGCAAGCGGGACGGGGAGCGGTGTCTTTCTGTTGCCCGTCCGAGGAGGGGGCTGGGTGTGTGTTTGTGTGTGGGAGCCCGGGCGCTCCCCTCCCTGGCGGAAACCCCTGGGCCTCCGCGGGAGGCTCAAAGCGACCCGTCGCCCCCCTCAGCTAAGCAGCCGAAGGCTTCCGGGGGGGGGGTCTGTCGGGACCCTTGGCCGTGCCTCTGAGAGGCGCCTGCCGGCCTCTGCTTTGGGCCAGTTAAAATACTGAAGCGATCGGAGCTTCCGAGGAGACTGAGGGCCCCCTCGCTCAGCCCCCCCCCCATCCAGCAGACTCCCGTGAAAACCCTTTCTGGAGGGGCAGCGCCTCCCGGCCGGCTCCTTTGGGGTTGCCCACTTGCCAGCCCTTCTCCGGGACTGGGGGCCGGGGTAGCAGGATGGGGAGCCCCCGGGGGTGGTCTGGGGCTGGCCCCAGCTTTTCTCCCTTCGCGGTATGATGTGTGTTTTCCTTTGGGAAGGGCCGGCTGGAAGGTGTAAAAACCGACCGAGGGAGAATTCAGGGGGCAGCAAAGGCCTTCCCCTCCTGGCCCCTTAATTCGGGAGTGGTGCGCGCGCGCGCCTGTGTGTGTGCGTGTGTCGGTGGCTAGCTCCCTCCCTCCTCCTCCTCCTCCTCCTCCTCCTCCTCCTCCGGGGCGCCCCGAGGGCGGCGGGCAAGGGGCGCTGGGCGTGGGCCCGGGCGTGGCGGGGGGGGGCG